GCATATGCTGCATATTGCGGGTGTCTGTCTGTCTGTGTGAGTGTGTGTGTACGTTTGAGTGTGTGTGTGTGTGTACCACAGCTCTAATTGCATTTTAAATGCTGCAAGTATGTTTCTTGCTGGGGCTGGGGCGATTTGGCAGAAGCGATGAGCAAGGTCCTTGGCCAAGAAACTGACACGACAGGCTCGTGCCTCGAAGTCGTGCAGGCTCGTGCCTGTTCTCAAAAGCACGCGCAATTAAGGCACGATAAATAGCTAGCCCAGATATGGAGAACATCAGAATATTGCAACCCCTCAACCTCTCAACCCCATCTCCTACTAAAAGTGTGTTCTTTGGGCTTCACGCATGTCTCTTGCTCGTGCTCATGCTCGTGCTCGTGCCGTGTCTCGCATGTGGAGTTCCATCTCTAGCTTGGCGCTCTATTAATTGGCAAATGATACGCTGCATTTGTATTAAACTTTAACCTGCTGCCACTTAATTAGCTGCGGCTGCGACAACGCCAAAGCTCCGTGTAGCTGGCATTTGTTTTAGCCACTGCGGCATTGCGTTAACTACTTTTTTATATCACCATCAATCTGCGGCCAAGTTTTCTGTGGGTGGCAACAACAGCAACAACAACAACAACAACAACAACAATAGCAGAACGGATAGCTTTTTCCCACATAGTTTTTGCTGCTGAAGTTTTGTGCGAAGAGTCAAGCTCGAAAATATATATGTATATTGAAAAATGCAGTAGTTTTTCCCAGCTTGGCCAAAAAGTTTCCTTTCCAATGGCTTTGCCTTTGCCTAAACTGACGTAAATTTATAATGACAAATTGCATTTGGCGCAAAAACAGAAAGAATGGGTTGAAAAAAAAGAGAAGGAAAACCCAACCAAAGGAAATGGAAAATGTGCAACTCTCTCGTGGTTAGCTGCAGCCAATTGAGCGTGAAAAATTATGATGCACCGTGCGGTCGGCTGCAAGAAAAACGACTTGCGACTTGCGACTTGCAACTTGGCCAAAAGACAATCGCAGCCGCTTAATTATGGGCTGAATGTCATTTCGAGCTGAGGCTGAGGCTGAGAAGTGTGCTAAATCCGCTTAAATACAAATTTATTCGCGTATGCAAATACCGTTCGTACTACGTGTAATTTAACTGTTTTGCCAGCGATTACAGTTATGTATGGCCAGGTAATTCAACAAGATTAAATACAATTAGTGGGCCAAACTAAAACCAACAACCCTCCCCCTTGCCTCCCTCCCCCCTCCTGCTGCAATTAGTGTAATTACAGGCAGTTCATCAGCGCATTAGAGTATTATAGACGCAAATCACAATTGGGGCTAAGATGCACGCTTCACATGGCCAGCTTAGCACTCGAATTGTATTCCAGCTATTTAACCACTGCACCACATACACACACTCACACACACACTCACACACACACTCACACACACACTCACACACACACATACACGCACACAATGTTGTTTGCTTTCTGGCCACAATCCAGAGCAGCGCCTCGCAACCGCACAATATCCGACTGGGCCAGCTTCAAGTAAAGTGGCTCAAATTTCACTCAAACACATTTTGTTGTATAGTTGCTTTAATGCCCTTACGTTGGGGTGTTTTAGCTCGGGCAGGCTTTATGTAACGCATCAAGGCAGAAAACGAACAATGCATCTATATGTGTAAATCTGTATAAATGCCTGATCAGGCCAAGAAGATAGCTTCATATAGCTTCATCCAGCTGTAAGTCAGCTAGGTGAAACTCTAGCATAGATTATTTTCTTCTTCTTTGTGGCAGCCAGTATCAGATATAATCACTAGCTATATAGCACTATATACTATATAATGACTATAGCTATAAGCTGCCTTATAAAAGGATTTTTTGTATGCATTTTGTATGTCGGAATCGTTCAAAAAATGAGTTTATGTATAGGCAACTTTTTTGTTTTCAAAGAAAGACAGAAGTTACGAGCTATACCAATATCATCAAATATTTGGAAATCCATTTCGAATCGGACTCAAAAATCGGTTCTTTCAATTTATTTTCATCAAACTCGGCAATTAAGAGCTTCCCTATGCTCCTTACATAAAAGCGTAATTCTCTTAATGGGGGTCTGAATGAAACTAAGAGTTAAAACCCCCCAAAAAAAGAGAGTATATATTTCTGAATATATGCTCGAATTTCTGCACGTTAATTTGCTGCAAGGGTGTTTGATATGCGGCTAAAGTATCATTCCTTCTAAAAATCTCGAAGGAGTATCATACTGGACATGAAGCTAAGAGTTCAAACCCATTAGAAAAGAGAGTATATATTTTAATAGATATTCAAATTTCTCTACCTAAATTTGCTGCAAGGGTGTTTGATCTGCGGCTAAGCAAAGCAACCTAAATTCAATTTGTTGTTGTTGCTGTTGTTGTTGCTGTGTTTGGGCCGCCGACGGCGTTGGGTCATGGCAACATTTTGCCCAAATGGGCGTCACGCGATAAAGCAAAAAATGACACGTTTTTAATTTTACTTCACACCTACACAAAAGCAACAACAACTTGGCAACAACAAGGAGCAGCCATGTAATCAAAACTGCAACAGAGCAACAGTCACAGCAACAACAGCAACAAACAACAACAACAATAAACAACAACTGGCAACTGGCGAGTGGCAACAATGCCGTGGGTGCCAACTATAAGAACGCAACGGCAGGCGAGCAAGAGAAAAATTAGATTTATCACGAGTGGTTGCCGGAAAAATTGTCAACATTTATCAACATTTTTCAGCGACGTGTTTTGGCCAGCAGCAGCAGAGCAACAGCAGCAGCAGCAGCACCTCAAGAAAAAGAACAACAGCAGCAACAATTGTAGCGGTAACTAAGCCGAAGTATGCCAGCGTCTGGCCGGGGCACATAGCTGCCGTGTCCGGTGCGCGTCCAAGTAGCTGCCGGAGATGAAGACGGAGTCGGAGACAGGAGCTGGAGCTGGAGACGGGTCGGAGACGGGGACGGGGAGGCAGATGCAGAGGAGGGAGGCCTTTGTGCGGTTGCGTTTGGCGCATTTTGATTAATATCCGCAAGCGTGGAGCGGCACGCAGGAAGCGCTGCTGAGCTGCTAAACAACAACAACAGCAACAACAACAACAACAGCAACAACTGGAAGAAGTGAACTGTAAGCCGCTTGCAAAGATTTTGTGGGCAGTCGCTTGATTGTGAAAAGTGGTCACGATGACGACCAAAAATTCACTCGCGAAAAATGAAAACAAAGTTGAACCGCAACAGCAACAACAAAAGGAGCAACAACAACAACAACAGGAGAAGCGTGTTGACCATTTTCCCGCGCCCCACGCGACAGTTTTCCCCATTTTCCAGAGTTTCCTCCCCTCTCCCTAAATTGGGCCCTGGGCAGCTGCGATGAGTGCGGTTTTATATGCTGCTGACTGCTTTATTTGATTTCGAATATTTTCTTGGAGCTTGTGTGAAAATTGTTAAAAATTACTTGCGATTTGTGTGGCACTTCTTGTCTACTTAGGGGCCAAATTGAGTTTTCAAGTTGATTGGATACAATACGCTCAGCAGCAACGGAGGCGGCAGCAACAAGCAGGCAATTAATATTGGTGAGCAACAAGTAATGAGTGCTTGAGTCAAAAGTGCACGACTTGCAGATACCCTGCTCGAGACAAAAAGCAAATCTATAACTCTTCAAGAGAAATGAGAGCGAGAACTGGCATATTTCTGATATGTGCAAATGATATAGACCAATTCCTGATAGAGGAGTTAATCGAAAGTGCTCGACTGGCAGATACCCTGCTTGAGCAAAAGCAAATCTATAACTCTTCAAGAGAAATATGATTAAGAAGTTGCATATTCCTGATATATACAAATGATAAATGCAAATGCCTGATACAGTTCTTAATCAAAAGTGCTCGACTGGCAGATACCCTGCTAATGGCAAAAAGCACAGAAATATGTAAGTCTTTAAGAGCAATGTGAGCAAAGGTTGGCATATTTCTGATATTGATACAATTGACAAATACAAATTCCCGATATATGCAAATGTTGCTGAACGTGTTGCATATCAAATATGTTTTCTATAGGGTAACTGCTAGTCGGGCACTCCAGTATACAAGAAATAGGTGTCCAAAATGTGGCCCATTCTGTATTCATGTTGCCACCAACGCTTATAAGCTCAAAGTTACGCTGAATATTAATATTTATCGATGTCGTGACAGTGGGAAGAATATCAATAATTTTAGCTTAATTTCAAGAGTGAAATTTGACAGTTCTAGAAATAACCCAAATTACGTCTATATATGAAATATTTATTTTTTTATAAATAAAAAAAATATTTATATATATAAATTATATTTATACAAATATTTATAAATATTGAATATTTTTGGAATATTAGAAAAAAGTTAACAAATATGCACATGTTTTTCTAAGTGGGAGAAAAAACAGGAAACTTTTGTGAAACTAAGACAATTTGTAATAATTTGGAGATTTTCTCAAGAAAAACTTTTTTTGGGTGTCTTCCTTTGATCAAGTTAGATATATATATATATATATATAGATATATAGTTGAACCTTATCGCTTTGACCTTCAATATACACTGTACCCCAAACTGAAGTATTCACATGCCGTAAAAGCCACCTCTCAAATAGCTAAAGATTCTTTTAGCCCACATTTGGCGAATTTCTGGCGAAAGCGTTTTAGAGAACTGCCCCTTTATAGCTATGATATGTCTGTCGAGCCGTGTTATGGCCCTTGGGCATTGTTAATCTCAGCTATTTGTCAACAGACTAAGCACAGCCTGGTCGGTCGTCTCATTAAATTACTCAAAATATTAATGCAGCTGCTGCCGAGAGCCGAGACAGGAGCCAAGAGCCTCCCCCTGGCTCCGGGCTCCCCCCTTTCGTCTGGTGCACATATAATCGCATTTTCAACTTTTTCAATAATAAACTTTTCTAAACGGATTTCCCGCTGGACGTTGCGCTTTAATCATTTTCTGTCACATCTTTTGCAGGCAAACAGTTGATAGCCAGACGAGTCCCAGCAACATCAAAGCCATTAATTCAAATTGGGGATTATGAGCGCAGCAGCAGCAGCAGAAGCAGCAGCAACAACAACTACTGAAAGGTGAACTTTACTTGAACTGAAAGTTAACCCATTTAATAATCCCCCTCCCTTCCTCTCTCCCTCTGCAGCAACGCACGGCCACGCCGATGTATGACAAATCAAAGAAAACGTGGAGTCAACGGCTCAAAATTAGCAGCGATAGCAAAAACGCATCTCTAGCCACGGTCGGCGGCATGCAGACCCTGCAGCTCTTGCACCTGCAGCAGCAGCAGCAGCATCTGCAGCAGCAGCAGCAGCAACAGCAGCAGCAGCAGCAACAGCAGCTCCTCCAATACCATCAGCAGCAGCAGCAGCATCCGCATCATCATCTGCAGCATCTGGGCTATCAGATGCCGCCGCCCGGCTATGAGCTTGTGCCGAGCGCGTTGTCGCGCTCCATGAAATATGCCGAGCCCTGGATCTATGGCACTGTGCGCGGCATACCCGCACGCCACGCCCCCGCCGCCGCCTATGCCTATGGGGGGGAGCCGGGCAACGCGCTGGCAATTGTGATCTGTTCGTGCGCAGAGTATCTGAACGGGACGAAACGTGACGTGAAGAAGGCGAGCGTGTGCAAGAAGTGCAAAGGTTCCCGCCTGCCCCTGGCCACCATCAGCGGCGGGGGCACGGTGCGGCTGCCAGCAATATCTGCTGCTGCTGCTGGCGTCGGGCGGCGACCGATGGCGGCAACAATGCGCGTGGTGAGCGCCACGAAGAGGTCACGTCCCACGATTTTGGATGCGCTAAAGGATCCCTATGACCTGATGCGACGCACACGTCTGCTGTCGCCGGAGCCCAGCGTCGAGCCACCGCCCGCCAGCTCCAAGGACGGCAAGTCACGTAGCCGCGACGCAGCTGCGACAGTTGCTGCGAGTGCAACTGCCACGCCCAAGGCCGGAGGCGGAGGCACGGGCGTGCAGCGCGGACGCAGCAGAACGCGTGCGCCGCTGCCGACGTCGGCGCCAGCGCCAGATCCCGCCGACTGCTGGCTAATGGAGGACAACGAGGCGCTGCTGCAGTGCAACGGACTGGCCGGCAGCAGCACGACGACGCGTCGCTCCATCTTGCGCTGCAATGTCAATCCCTACGAACTGATCTCAGTCGAAAGCCAAGCCAAGACCAAAAACTTGCCCAACGATGACTTTGATGTGGCCGACGCTCAGCTAAACGAGGATGAGCAGCAGCTGCAAAGGGAACGGGAACAGCAGCGGGAACGGGATCAGCGCAAGTTCTACAGCAACAATGTGGCTGCGATTGCGGGTCAGCGCATTAGCCTGGGCGAAAAGCCAAGCGATTCAGCTGCTGCCGAGCGTCTAGAGATGACAACAACAGCAACAACAGCTAACAATCCACGACGTCCGCCGCGCAACAAGAAGTCGGAGGAGTCGCCAAATCTGGCGCCGACAGCAGCAACAGCTCCCACTCCTCTGCCTGATAAGCTCGCGTCCGGCTCTGTGCTCGCTGTCACGCCCACAATCACGCCCGGCATCAAGTCCATACTGAAACGTCCGTCCACGCTGGAGCTCACTGTGCCGCCTGCGCCTGTGCCTGCGCCTGTGCCTCAGCTGACGTCTGACAATGCTGCCACAACGCCTGCAACAACGGCGCCTCTGCTGTTGACGCCCTCGGGCAAGTCACAGTTCTATATACCAACGCCCACGGGCACGCCCACGCCGACGCCGACATCGGCGTCGAGCACGCGCAAAAAAGTGCAATTTATGGTCGAGGATAAAATCATAGCCACGACAACGACAACGACAACTGATGACAGCGAACACTCTGCTGTTGTTGCGGCGGCAGCAACTGCTGCTGCTGCTGCTGCTGCTGCAGATGATGATGAGACAGCAGCAACAACAGCAGCAACAGCAGCAAACTATGAGTACTACAATCGCAAGCGCAACGCAGCCGCACAGCAGGCGACAGCAACTCAGCAGCAACAACAACCGACACAGCAGCAACATCATGAACAACAACAGCAACAACTGACATTGTCAGCGCTTGAATCTGACGTTGATGATGAGCATAACTTTACAGCTTCCGCTGAGCCAACAACAGCAGCAACAACGCTGGCCACGCATATTACGCCAGATAGTTTGCATTATGAAGATGTGCTGCCGCCTGTGCATCAAATATTTGACAATAGTTGTAGCAACAGCAACAGCAGCAACAGCAGCAGCAGCAGCTCGTCCACCGATGTGAGCCAAGTAGCTGAAATTTTGCCAAACTCAACAACTGCTGCTGCTGCTGGCGCCAAATTATTATTGTCGGCGTCGAGTCCGAGGCATGCTGGGTCAACAGCAGCAACATCCCCAACAGCAGCAGCAGCAACATCACCGCATGTCACTGCAAATGTTGTCAGCGCTTTAGCAGCGGGTAAGTACACAACCAACCCCTCACCCTCCCCCCTGATTCCCCCCCCTACCCACTAGTTAGGGCAACGGCAAGTTTTGCCTTTTGTTAGCTTTTAATTATGAGCAAAAATTTGCGCGCTGCAACTGAAAAAGAATGCAATGTGAGCAGTTTTTTGTGTGTGCGCGCGCCCGGGCAAAGCGGGCATATGAACTATGTCAAGGCTTAGGATGAACTGTCAGTCGAGTGGAAGACACAAAAAAAAAAAAAAAACTAAGCGTAATCAAAACTCAGTTACACGATTGTAGATTGTCAGAGCAGCATAAAGTCTCCCATTTGAAGGGATTTAGCATAGGCGCAAAAATGTTAACGCCGCGAGGGCAAAGCAAGTCGCGTCAGGAAGAATAAAAACTATATCAACTTTTTTCGACTCTAGTGTAAGTTCAGCTATAACCATTATTTTCATTATTATTTTTACTATTTTCAATTGAATATAATTTGATATAGCGCTGGCTATTATGAGACTTAGACTAAGTCAATTCTGAAGCCAAACCTGAGATTCGAATAGGTTTCCTTCTTGATAAGTTGCCCAAATAATTGAATCAATTCAACAGTTTATTCACACAATAAGAACTAATCAAGAATTTTGTACTTAAATCAAGTAGAATCAATTTTAAAGTGCGGTAAGAGCTGTAATACTTGATTCAAGTATAAAATTCTTATTTCAAGTATGACTTTTTAAAAGTATGACTTACATAAATACTTGGTTGAAGCTTGGTTTTTAACGCTCTTCAGCCTTAACAACGAAATAGTATTGAATCATGTTTTAATAACTCTCAAAATAATAACTCTCAAAACATCCTCAATTTAAGACCACCAATGCTTAAATTATCCCAATTTTCACCCTGAAATAAGACTAGTATAGTTTTAAATTGAGCCCAATATGTGCTTAATACAATCCCAGTTTGGGCGAGCCCGTGCCAATACTCTACAATTTTTTGGTCTCTTCAGCTATACAACTTCCGAAAAAGCCGTAGATTTATGGATTCAAGCATTTTTAAACTTCAATCAGCTTTTATTCTTCTTGATTTTATAGAGATTGAATTAAGTAAATTAACTACTAAAAGTAAAATTTTTTGTAATTGATTCATTCATTTTTAACCCTTTCTATTAAGTACGAATTATAATTAAATCAAGAACTTTTAGCTCGATTCGCGCTCGAAATCCTACGAATTTCTTAGGCCTAGAATCAAGTACAAAAAGTCTTGCCATTTTTCTCGCTGTGTACCTTGCCTCTATTTTTACCTGCTTGTCTAACAGTTTTTCGAGCGTTTCATAATGTTTCGCTTAGCTGAGATACTTTTACTTTCCCTTTCCCAGGGCCTTCCTTTCGCTGAGTGTCATTCTTTGGCCCTGTTCGTTTTTCGTGCTCGTCTATCGTCTGTCCACATTTGCCGCACTGTTTATTTTTGACTAAAAACGTTGCAATTGTTTGTTAATTGCTCATCAGCATGCTCTCTCTCCCTCCCCCTCTCCCTCTCCCCCCCTCTCTCCCTCGCTCTCACTCTGTCTTACTTTCCCTGTCACTCTCTTCCTCGCTGCATTAGAGTGTGGCAGACATTACGTATACGCCAAGTAACCGCCACTTCATGCATTAAACAAATTTCTAACAACTATGAAATAGTTAAGCAAACAATTGCAACAGCCACACTCACACACACTTACACACTCACACACACACACACACATGCACAGTCGGGCAATTGAAATGGCGACATTTGAATGGAAGTCGACGTTGACATTGGCGCACCTGCTGCAAGTTCAGAGGGTTAACACTATAATCAGGCACAGGGCCAGGCCAAATCCACAGCCAGAACCCCCCCCCCCTCTCTCACCTACACACACACACACACCTTCGCCAGGCACGTAGCTTCGCGGCAAACACACACACAGCTGCGAGGTGCAGGCAAAGTCAACTTGACATTTGCACCCGCAAATGGCAAACCCGACTGCGATAACTCCAAACTATATATATACTCACACATATGCAGGCGATGCGCACGTGTGTGTGTGCGTGTGTGTGTGCGTGTGTGTGTGCGTGTGTGTGTGTGTTTTTGTAAGAGTGGGCGTGGCTGGCGCCTGCTGCTGAGGGGCGTCACAAATGTTGAACTTCATTCAAAGCAAATTAACAGACGACACAAAAAGCTTTCATTCAATTAAATTTTGACTCCGCCAGCGTCAAACATCGCAAAAGAACTTGAGCCGCGTATTGAGCCCGCGTGTGAGAGAGTCGCCCAGTGATACACTATCCAACAAATAAGCGATACTTTTGCGGCGGCAAATAGTTGTGCAGGATAATGTGCGCCCATCTATCATGCTTTTTAAGACCAGGGCAAACAATCTTTGGTAATATATTTAAATAAAGTTTACATTACTTTTACTTTTTTTACTATGTCGATTAATATCGATTTTGCGACTGGATTAATTTATAAGCATAACTCACAAAGTTCAAGCTAGGTACTTAGGAGCTCGTATAGAATATATTTCACTTATTGTATTCCTCCCCCCCTTTTTCGATGAACATTCAAAGAGAACGATATTCTAACAAGTTATCGATTATCGGAAACTACATTCCAAATTTCAAGTCTCTAGCTCTTATAGGTTCTATAAAAATAGAGCCCTTTAGACCCAGAAATCTTCATAAAGATCGGACTACAAAGACCGAAGTTAGTCAAGAATGCATATACATAGTGTAAAGAAAAGCTAAGAAGAAGCACAGCAAGTGCGTAAAGTGAATAGCTTTTGGCCTGTTGTACAAAAGGCATTAAGAAAGAATACTTTTAGCAGGGTATCAGGTTGTCGGGACTGGCTTTACACCCCGAGCAGAGCATTAAGTAGTCGGTTATGCGAGCCATAAAAATTGTATTACAGCTAATGTTAGTTTTGGCTAGTGCCTGTATTGTGTTGCACAGTGTTATGCGGCTATGCCCGGCTGGCATATCGAATGCGCTGCTATTTCAGCTATGCAGCCGGGATAGACAATGCCAACACTCGACGGTGGCGAAAGGTAAACCACATCTTGGGAGCAACCACAATGATAATGGCTGCAGCGATGATGATGACGATGAGGATGTAGTTGATGATGATGATGATGATGTAGTTGATGATGATGATGACTATGTCTGCCTATTAGGGGCAACATGGCAGGCACTTTATTCTATGCGAGAAGGTGATAGCCAGAGCCGGCGTGGTCGCGGCGGCGCCCACGTGTCTCCGCTAGACAATTACAAAGTTGCTCCTTTGGGTCTGCCCAAGTCAAGCTGTGCGTGTGTGTGTGTGTGTGTGTGCGTGTGTGTGGCACTGACTGCAATTTGTTGCATTGTTTGTCGCTGCATTCTCTCTGTGCGCCTTGGCCAAGAGTTAAGCACTTGGAACTTTTCAAACAATTTTTGATTTGATTTTTGCAAATGGCTTACAGTGAAGCCCGGGCGAACGCACGGCCCGCAGTTGATTTATGGCGCACGTGTTGCATTTTGCCGCGCCAGCCGTGGGTCGCCCGTCGCGTCCGCCTCGAAATCAAAGTGAAAGGCATTCAAGTGATACCCAAGCAATCTGTCCGCTCGCCGGTGAAATTTGCATTTTTTTTTCAGCTGTGCCACACGAATTCGCCAACGCGCACGCCAACATATTTAATGTGCCAGCTGCAGCTGCCCCCGAAAAGCTCGACTGCGGCGCATTATTAATAGTTCATATTTGTCTTTGATAAGCAGCAAGGGGCGCTGCAAATTGAAATCAAAGAACCACGACCAAAGAAAACAGGGTATAAGCAGTCGGTCCCCTTTTCCACTCACAACAAACCCAGTGCAGAAGCTTCTGTTACAAATTGTGTCAAATCTATCAGAATAGCTCGTTTAGCCTCGAACTTTAAATTTACCTTAGCTTATATTTTATAATATTTAAACATTTTTATTAAACGTTTAAATTTTTAGGCATAAAACTATTTGCGTTAATGATTAGGAGAATTTTGAAAAACATTTACAACATTTTCCGGTGCGTGTTATAATTATAATACACTTCCGCAGGGTCTTTCAAATGTTGTCAAACTTTTGCGAACCCATTAAATTTATTTATATATATAATTATATTGAAATGATTTATAATATCCTGTTCTATATAGTCATATATGTCCATAAAAATCGTTATAAGCTATCTCTATGAAACGTGGCATAGATGAATCTCTTTGTGGCAGGCAGCATGGCATTTCTTTATCGTTTGAGACATATATTTAAGCTGTTATACACTTTATAAGTGATACGACGTTGCATGGCTAAACTTTATCGATAATTATCGATTAATCGTTTAAATCTGTAGGCATGCACAAAACTATTTCCGTCAACAATTAAGAGAATTTCGAAAAACATTTCCAACATTTATACACTTTATTAGTGTTACAGACAGTTGCATAGCTAGGCATAAATATATATCGATAATTATCGATTGTAGACTTAATCTATCGATAGATAATAATCGAAAATAATCCTGCCAGGGTATTTAATTTTACCTCCTCTCACCTCAATAGCCAACGCCCTTTGCTGGCGTTTGATTACAATTTGTAAACTAATATGTTAAAATTGTCAAAAGCATTTTTTTGTGTTTTACAATTGGAAATTTAAGCTAAATTTCCCGTTTTGCGGAATTTAAAATTCCGCTTCGGATTATAAATGATTGAAAAATGTTCGCATTTTCGTTTGACCGTTTGTCCAGGAATTTTCTGGCTTGCAAATTGTGCTGCTAATTTTTCTTGTTTGCTCTCAAATGCGATTTTCTTTTTTCATTTTCAATTTCGTTTTCGTTTTCATTAAATGGCATTCGCTTTAAATTTGAGCGCTCGTCAAATGAAGTGTGAATGAATAATAAGAGCGAGGCGCGAAATAAAGAGATTTTAAACATGACCCACAAATGTTATTTAAAATGCCAAAAACAGCACAGAAATTTCCCTTTCCCTTTGCCCCTCCCCCTTCTCC